ACTGACTTTGCAACCGACTATTTACCACCAAACAGTTCGTCTTGGCGCCAAAGACCTTTGAGGATCACGAGGAGAGTTTTCTTTTGCAAAGGAACCCTTGTGGTCATAGTCCTTATGTAACATCTCCTGCTCCAATTGTCCTGCTTATAAAATTCTCGCACAGATCGCAAAGAAAACACCGTTCCTCTGTTGCTGTTCAATTGTTACTTAGAGGACCACGCAGAAAACACATCTTGCTGATTACGGATCTCTGCCTAGCAACAGCTGCTGTGCAGTCGCCGCCTAGCAACGCGCCTACAAGCCAGAATATGCATGGATTGATCCGCAATTTATTGTAAAATGTATTTCTATGTATCTACTTTTCATATTGTAACGGATTTGATCAACGCTTTGTCAGGCAACAGCTGTGTAAACATGGTCCAACAAGTAGCAATAGAAGGAGCTGTGCTTACTGTAGATCCAACCGACCCTACAGTAGACTGGCTAGTTCGCGATCATGTGATATAACATATGTTTAATGTAGGTCCATGTCCGTTCCGCGGCTATATAAGTAAGCGAGCAGGGGCTCGACACCAAGACAGACAGACTGACTTACCGTCAGTCGCAATGTGACTTTGACTTTGACGTTCAGACCAATTACGAGTTACGAGTAGCAGTAGCGGCAGAAGCAAGCCAGTGCTCAGTTGGCAATAGCTACGGCAAGTTCGTAGTTGAAGAAGAATTAGCAGTTGGCCCGTGAAGACCTAACATGTGACTGGGAAACTTTATTTGTGTGTAATATTTGGGGTGGGTAATTCAGTGAGACTGCTATGATTCTTGTGTTATAAAACCGTGGAAACTAGTGCAGATAAACTGAAGAGATTAGTGTGGAATGATTGTAAATTGTGTAAAGCAGCATTAGAGTAATAATTAATTGTAGTTCCGGTCTGCAGGTTGTTAATAAATCCAATTATCAATCAACCCCGTCTTTAGTCACCCATACACGTGACAATATGAATGACTTCAGTCTTGAGTTTTGTTGCTACTTTAGTGTACAGAGCTGCCTTCCCCTGGTATTGGATATGATAAGTGTGAAAGGTGTAGTCATATTTGAGATTTATCACTGATTTAAGAAGCGTGTTGTAGGTATGAGAAAAAATCGTGTTTATGACGATATGCTCAGTTTTTCAAAATAGAATTCAATGCACATGTAGCACGCATATGAGCGAAGCAAAAGGTATTCAAAATTCTGGAAAGAAAACTTGAATAAAAGAGACCACATTGAATACATAGAAGAAAACAAGAGTAATAGTATACCGTGGACGCTCACAGCGTTGCTAGGTAACTGACCGCAAAACACCTCGCGACCGAATACACGCAAGGCAACAATTGGAGTGCGGCGTTTTCTATGGAGTCCGTGCCGCACCGTTGCTATGCAATCCGTCGGTAAACACGTTCTAACAATATAGGCTGTTTTTTCTACGTGGTCAATAAGGAGACTATAAAATGACAGTTATAGACAGAACAGAAGTAAGAGACCCCATGTGGAGTCGGGGTCGAATATCTCCACCGTGACCCTGCGAGTCGTAGGAGGCGACGAAAAGGGAAGTCAATTCTGAGACAGTAAAATATGGTCGCGAGTCCCAAGGGACTCGGACCCGAGAAAGACCGCTCTGGCAAGGGACAGCAGCGTATGCCAAATAGAGACTCATCCTCTCGTCAGAGAGGGTGTCCCACAAAAATAAGACCATAACTGTGAAACGGTAATAATTACATATAATATCTGGTAATGAGCCCCAGAAGTAAATCGACACCAAGACTTACTGACTGACTGACTGACTGACTGTCAGTCGCAATGTGACTTTGACTTTGACTTGAACAGAAGTAAGTATTTGGAGAGTATTTATCAGTATTCGGGAGTATTTGAGAGTGTTTGAGTGTTTAAGTGACAGTGAAAGAATTCTCGGCGGAAGACAGCAACGGGGAGTTCGTAGAAGACCTGTGAAAATTTAAATGGTGATTGAAGACCTTAATTATGTGCAATACTTGGAGTGATCTGAAGCGCTAGTCCTGTGTTCAGATACTGTACGTTACCCGGAGAGAACTAGTGTGTGCGTGCAACAGTAAATTATGAGGTGTATGTAAATCAGCTACGTCGCTGTAATATAAGTGTAGCTAAAGAGAGAGTGTGCCGGTCACGGTAGCCGAACGGTCTAAGGCATGCACTGTCTTCGCTCGCTCGGAAGCCGGGATCCTGGGTTCGAATCCCACTGAGGGCATGGATGTTTGTGTGCGTTTTTCTGTGTTTGTGTACAGGTAGAGGCCTTGCGACGAGCTGATCACCCGCCCAAGGAGTCCTACCTTATGTGTAAGATCTAGATAAACCGAAGTGAACGGAGTTCATGGAGGTAGGCCTAAGCCCACTGGGGCTGTAGTGCCGAGGAAAAAAAAAGAGAGTGTGTAATTACGTGGTTAATAAACCCAATTACCAATCCGAACGGCGTCTCAGTAGCCAAACACGTTACAGTATTAAAATGTGTCTCAGATGAACATGATGTGAGGTTGTGGACTTCAGCAAGAACGGTGGCGGACTCTTGCGAGCACAGTCATTAACTCTTATGATTTCGAGAGTTCTCCCAGCGGTTAATCAGAAGAGAACGGGTTTCTGGGTTTTACCGCCGTGTAGTTTGGGAACAGCCCGACGCTTCGAAGAAACAAATCATCTACGTCTTTGTTGTGTAAAAGTAAACCAAACAAGAAACCGATGGAAGCTGAGCTAAGCTGTCTGCGATCTACACGGCATTTCAATATAAAACAGAACTGTACTCTGACGGTAGTTAACTCTTGGGCTCAATACATAGATCGGAACCCCTTCATGAGTCACGAGACTACGAGTTTGCCAAGAAGGGCTTAGCTTCATGCAGTTGCTTACAGCACATCAGCAACTCAGGTGTCTCAGTGTAAACCCATCCACGGTGAACATGCTACGAGATGATGTTAATATGGGCATATGAGGGAGAGGGGGACAGTTTGACCTTGACCAACTAATGGACAGCCCAATCGATGCAGAATGTTTCTACCCCACACTACATGCTTAATTACGATCACACTGTGAAACCCTGTTCCAAAATAAATACGATAAATGAAGAATGCCGTTTTCTGGGATGTGGTGCCATGTACAGTGTGTCCACTAAATACCGTCGGGGTTTTGAATAACTGTGGGTCGCAAACAAATTGAGCTAGCCACATGCGGTTTGCGGCATCATAATGAAACTGTTGGAAGTTTTTTACTGATCTCAGTAGACCTCGATGCGGGCTCCCTTGGTAGCACGGAGAACGTCCAGACCATATTCGAGCTCTTGCCATGTTCTGTGGAGCATGTCCGCTGGAATAGCTGAGATCGCATTCCTGATGCGGGTCTTCAGGTCATCAGGTCCGTTATCTCGTGTTCGGTACCCACTGCTCTTGACATAACCCCACAGGAAAAAATCCACCTTCCTCTGAAACGTCGGTTCACACAAGGTCTGCACGGCACCAAATCCTAGAAAACGGCCTTCTTCATAGTCACCACCGTGAAAACCTCAAATCTTACAAATACGTGTATTTGCCTCAGACCTTACTGAGAAATTCTGGGGCAATCCCTTATTTTAGACCGACTCTGTTCCTTTAGCACCCTTTCACTCATCGCTCAAAATAATTGTTTAAGCCTAAGAAAATAATTAGCCTCCAATTTGAGACATTGTGTAAGATTTTAGTGGAAAGACCTTATTATAAATGGCAGGATAATGCTAATATGTTTAAATATTGTAAAATGTAAGTCCTTTGCTAAGTAATGTCTCAGTAATCAACGCCCGTTGCTAATAACAGAATCCTAACATGTGCCAATGGAATGAAAAGCGGTGTTTTCTTTGTGGTCCGCTAAGCAGTAATTGACCAGCAACAGAGGAACAATTTTTCTGTGCGATCCATGCGGAGATGTTATAAGCCGGACAAACGGTGAGAGTTAGTTCAGAGCAGGGAAATAAAGAGTTGGTTGGTGAGTTAGAGAACTGCAGTTCTGTCATTAGAATTTGGTAGCTGAGGAACGAGGACAGTTCGAGAATACAGAGTAACGGAACGTCCGTCGTTGGAAGCCGTTACCAGACAACGACTGGTGAAGATACAGCAGACTGAGAAGACTTAGTATATGCTGTACTGAACTGCGGCTTTTCTGAATTAGCGATAGCGCTGTAGTTGCTTGTAATTATATCTGTAAGTGGTTAATAAAGTGAATTCCAAATCCAAACCCTGTCTATGGTTACTCATACACGCGACAATATATTGCCATAAATAAAAGGAATAGCCGGTCACGGTAGCTGAGGGGCCTAAGGCATGTACTGTCTTCGCTCGCTTGGAGACCGGGATCGTGGTTTCGATTCACACTCAGGGTATGATTTTTAGTTTGTGTGTGTGCGTTTTTCTATGTTTGTGTACAGGTAGAGGCCTTGCGACGAGCTGATCACCCGCCCAAGGAGTCCTACCGAATGTGTAAGATCTAGAAAAACCGAAGTGAACAGAGAAGTTCATGGAGGTAGGCCTAGGCCCACTGGGACTGTAGTGCCAATGAAAAATAAAAAATAAAAGAAATGGGAGCAAATAATGCACAGCAAGAAACGAATCCAGTAGAAAGCCCTTCACCATACATGTTACATAATTTGTGACACTAAACGACCTCTGAAATTGCCGTTTCTTGAGCGGTATTCGGGCTTTTCATTACTGAGCTTGTAATGTATGAAGTTACATGATTATTTGTGAGCGTGGGTTGGGTTCAGCTGGCTCACGATAGGATTTATTGACGATTACAATAAAAAACGTGGAACTTGTTGATAAACCGAATGACTGATGTTTTGATTCCGTCCCACGACCTTAGCTTGAGACATAGCCCAAGAAGGATGAACCAATACACGTTCCTCATTCATCTTTCTGTTCCCTCTAGGCATACAATGACGCCGCCGCCGTACTGACAGCCCCGGTGGTAGGGTCTATTACGTCACACGGGGAGACGCGCTGTGATACTGACAGTAACGCGCCGTCTGCCGTCGCGACGAGACCTACTTTAATTCCAGTCCAACTCAGCCGGTCTGTTTCCTACGGTAAGTAGACGCTATGTCCCACGGGACTGCCCTAATATACGTGTTAATACTTGATTTAAGAAATTCACTTCTTGCCAGGGAGTAAAGTGTTACTGAAGTGCAGGCAGATGTCTGAAGTGACGAAAATGAAATATACCGATCAGCATTCGTGTGCTTGTGGTAAAACATGGTACGGTTTTGGACACTAGGACACTGCGTCCGGTCTGATTATTGGGTGAAATCAATGGATAAGTAACAAACTTACCGGTATCCTAATGTATATTTTTCCGATTTCCATTGTGGGAAACTTACAAGTGCGCGGTGCAATGTTACTGGTCCCTGCCCCTCTCCGGTGTTAGTAATGCAACCTTGAATGCGTTTTTGTTTCTCACAATGGAGAAGAAACAACTAAGTAGATTTGTATAAATATGGACTTAAATTCACGTTTGGAGTCCCAGGTATGCGTACATCCACCATGCCTTCAACGTGGCATAAGAAAGTCGAATGAAGCTCACAGCAGTTTCGCTTCAGAGCGTCCATTAACATCTGAACCGTCCAATCAGAGTTTAGAATATTGTGTTGGCGTTAATTCCTAGACAAAAACGCAACAGTGATTGTGACGCGCTGATCACAGTGGTCGTGCGGTACAAGGCATGAACCGTTTTAGCCAGCCCAAACACTGGGATCGTGAGTTCGAATGCCACTCGAGACATGAATGTGTGTATGTGTGTTTATTCTGTTTTTGTGTTGCTCTGTATGTAGGTAGCGGTCTTGCGACGGTCTGCTCCCCCACTCAAGGAGTCCAACCGACTGTGTATAGAATAAAGTACTGAAAAAAAAACTGCTAACACCCACCAGGGCTGTAGGGGCCCCAAGCAGATACATTGTAAAATGCGTTAAGACGGTGAGAACAATTGAAAATTATTCAAGAATACATTTCTATATACAGGGTGTTTCTTGAAGAACCATATCACTTGATCGTCTTACCGTCGGCGCCTTGCTAACCGGAACACGTAGCGTCACCTTCAAGAGAAACGGAGTCAAGTTTAGACATTAATATCCCGCGAATTATAGACTCGGACGTGTGTATATTGGAGGGGATAATTTGTTTAGAAACATTCACCATCACAGGTATTGCTCAACATGTCTTCTTTCAGCTCTTAAACAAACTTCAATCCTAACATTCTTGCATTGTTTCCTCATATTGTGTGTTGACTATTCTATTCAGCTTCAGTGTCACAACATATGTATAATTCTAAGTTAACTGCAAAGTTTTCCGGCTGAATCAAGTTACAGTAATTGAAGTGAGGATATGAAGGGTACGTAAGTCTAGCGAATTGGAATGAAGGGAATATCATGGTGAAATGTGAGTGCATCAGTTCATGCATTTTGTATTTAATTACTATTACTGTTTAGTGTACAGTATACTTATTTTTATGAACATTAATTTATATAATTGTAGTCGTAATTGTATTTATTATAGTTGTAATTGTATTTGCATTGTATTCATTTTGTGTAGTGTGTCATTTGTTGTTTGTGTGATGTGTGTTTTTTGTGTTTTTTATCTTATTGTAGTACACTGCCACAACTGATGATGATGGTGACGATAATAATAATACTTAACCAATATTAGTTCAATTTCAACAAGTTCAGAATTATCTATTTTAACTTAATTAAAACTAAAGTAGCTATAAAAACAGATTTTGAGGCTGATGCAAAATTAAAAATACTTTTATGCTGCGAATAACGCATACCCTTCGGAACACTAGGACAGAGGTGCATATAATTCACAATATTTGTTTAAGTCCATAACTGAAACCCTACATTGTGAACAAGAATACGAGCTTACCCCAGTTGTAAACATTGGCCAACGGAGAGGGGACAGCAGAGAGAGTTGAGAGTGACTGTGTAAGTACTACCTAATGATGGCCACAAATAGTGGTCGAAACGTGTCGTAATTATAGAAACCGTATAGTCATAACAGAATTATACATATATTGTGGAATGGAAACTGAATAGAACTTCAGTCCTCTTGAAAATGTTGTTTCACATTAGTTCCAGTTTAGTGACGTTAATATACTAATTGTTTTCGTAAAAAATATCATCCAGTGGGGGAAGGAGATTATTTGAATTCAGTTTGCTTTTTAGGTTTCCCCACTTATAGAAATTACAGTTACTTAATCCTGGAGACGTGGCGGCCACGACATCTGACTTATCTCTTTGGCTTCAGACATGTAATTTTAAATATTAATATCATAATTAGTAATGTGTGTTGTAGCACCATCTTGCATAAAATAACCACATGTATTTTTATTCCTTCTTCCTTTATGCTTCTAAAAATACCTCAGGTATATCACTGACATACCGTTCTGAATTATAGACACGCCTCACAGCAATCCTCTGATCGTGAAGGGGCAATTCAGAAGTCTGTCTCGGATTAACACTGCTCCAGTACCTGTTCTTCTGAGCTCTGATATATCAATTCAGACAGAATCAAGCTACATCAGTAAAAATGAATGTAAGTTTTGGGCCATAATATCGCCATGTACTGCCCATAAGAACCAGTTACAAAAACGCTCTATTCTCTCGTAATCGCTTGAACCCGTCTACAATATTCTTTTCCGTACACGTAAGGTATCAGTCACCGTCCACGCTGTCGTCGCCGAAACTTGTACCTGCTGATTCTTACGCGTTAGAGTAGCTGTTTGTGGCGCTGTGCTACGAGCAGGAAGGTCGTGGATTCGATTCCCGATGAGGTCATTGGATTTTGTCAATTGATCTAATCCTTTCAGCCGCATTATAGCTCATCCCCAGCCCCTAACAGAAATGAGTATCAGGAATCTTCCTGGGGTTAAAGGGTGGCCGGCGCATAAAGCTGACAACCACACCGCCATCTGTGAGCCGAATGTATCGAAAATGTGGGAACTTCGACGCTTCACAATTCTTTAGGCCTCCACTGCCTCTTAGAGAGATAGCTTCACGTTTTTATGTTCTAATATGGATTTAATTTCATGAAGCGTCCCTTCTGCTATCACAGAATTCTGCCTTGTGCATTTTCTGTCTAAGAAATTCCCGGTTGAACGAACTTCCTTCAGTAGATCGAAGATAATTGATGAAGGTGGGACTCGAACACCAGGATACTTGGGACGAAACCTCTTTTTTTACACGATTCATATTTTATTCTTTTCCAGATAAATAACAGCGCAGAAAGCCCTGGTGTTCACGTGTATATTTCACTATCTCAGATCTGTTCCTATAAATCAGGTCACGACACATATCTGAATGTTTTACTTGAACAGAAACACACGGATATCCTTTTTTGTAATATAGTGAGTCATTTTAAGCTGCAGTCGTGGCATGAAAGATGAGCAGTGAAGGAATCTTACGGTCTTCTTATCCTGGCCCATGTATCTCACAAGGGGCGGTCAGCTACCGAGAGCAAAAGCTGACAAAGGGGGGTGGGGTGGTTGACCCAGTTCCGCCGCTCCTGAAATTCATGACACATAATAAACTATTTTGAAAACATGAGCACTATCATTGCCATTATGCGATTTCGGGTTATAATAGCAACAGCAACAGAATATTATCACGTGTATGGGTGACTTATAAGATGGGATTTGGATTGGTAATTAGATTTACTGATCACTCCTTGTACAATCATTCTTAATCACAATAAATTACAGTAACTCACAATAAATCTTCAGCCGACACCTTTGTCCACGCCTCAGATCGGACTATGTTCCTGCTACTGGCGTCTACTACAGGATATATATGATGATAGGTCAGCAACTCTTGGTCCGCGTACCGTTGTCGATTCTTAGTTCTCTTTAATCCTCTGCAGCCTGAAGAAGAAGAAGAGGAAGAAGTGGGGGATGGTAGTGAGGGACACTATATTGGGAGGGGGTAAGAAACTCTATCTCCGATTTTAAACNTGCATATAATTCACAATATTTGTTTAAGTCCATAACTGAAACCCTACATTGTGAACAAGAATACGAGCTTACCCCAGTTGTAAACATTGGCCAACGGAGAGGGGACAGCAGAGAGAGTTGAGAGTGACTGTGTAAGTACTACCTAATGATGGCCACAAATAGTGGTCGAAACGTGTCGTAATTATAGAAACCGTATAGTCATAACAGAATTATACATATATTGTGGAATGGAAACTGAATAGAACTTCAGTCCTCTTGAAAATGTTGTTTCACATTAGTTCCAGTTTAGTGACGTTAATATACTAATTGTTTTCGTAAAAAATATCATCCAGTGGGGGAAGGAGATTATTTGAATTCAGTTTGCTTTTTAGGTTTCCCCACTTATAGAAATTACAGTTACTTAATCCTGGAGACGTGGCGGCCACGACATCTGACTTATCTCTTTGGCTTCAGACATGTAATTTTAAATATTAATATCATAATTAGTAATGTGTGTTGTAGCACCATCTTGCATAAAATAACCACATGTATTTTTATTCCTTCTTCCTTTATGCTTCTAAAAATACCTCAGGTATATCACTGACATACCGTTCTGAATTATAGACACGCCTCACAGTAATCCTCTGATCGTGAAGGGGCAATTCAGAAGTCTGTCTCGGATTAACACTGCTCCAGTACCTGTTCTTCTGAGCTCTGATATATCAATTCAGACAGAATCAAGCTACATCAGTAAAAATGAATGTAAGTTTTGGGCCATAATATCGCCATGTACTGCCCATAAGAACCAGTTACAAAAACGCTCTATTCTCTCGTAATCGCTTGAACCCGTCTACAATATTCTTTTCCGTACACGTAAGGTATCAGTCACCGTCCACGCTGTCGTCGCCGAAACTTGTACCTGCTGATTCTTACGCGTTACAGTAGCTGTTTGTGGCGCTGTGCTACGAGCAGGAAGGTCGTGGATTCGATTCCCGATGAGGTCATTGGATTTTGTCAATTGATCTAATCCTTTCAGCCGCATTATAGCTCATCCCCAGCCCCTAACAGAAATGAGTATCAGGAATCTTCCTGGGGTTAAAGGGTGGCCGG